AAGAATGATATGACTCATCGAAAACTGCACGAACGAACATAAACAGTGGCGTAATCGTCCGTTATCGACTGACTCCAGACCGATTTTGAATTTGTAAACTGTCATTGCAATGGACAGTTGACATTGTGCTCTGGAGGAAACAATTTGTATCACTCTTGCTATGGATATAATTTGTAATCTGGAATTTTTTGCATACCTTTTTAATACGTATTTAATTGCGGCTCGTGAAAAATTTCAAATTTTGAAAAATGGCTCGGACTATCAAGGAGCTTGGCCACCCTGGGCATAGAGCCTTTACTACATGAAAATGAAAATTAATGAATACACTGTACAGTAATTTATCTGATAAGACAGACCTCAGAAAAATACTTTATGAGGCATAAAGCTGTCTTTATCATGAAAATTAATTAACTAAGGATTTTTTTGCCCTGCCAGGGTGTGGCCGAGTTATCCGGAGTGCTGAGTTTTCGAGGCTCTACTGTACTCACATTAAAGCCTCTGGAGAATTGACAGTTTACTAATTATCATGTTTAAAATGCTGTGCTGACATTATCATGCACATCAACAATCAAAATTTAGTGACATCTCTAACATGCAAAAAGCTTATTACTATCACATCAATAGCAATTAATTTACATATTTATACTCTATTATTACATCATCCATTTATATTAATGTCTTCTTACCAACCATCATAACTCAACTGAAGAGGGGCTCAGAAAAAGGAGTCCAAAATGCATTTTGGTTACATTAGTACAGTAGACCCCCCTATAACATGGTACATACGTTTTGTGTTTTATGAAATTCATGTTGTATGAGTCCTTAAATACATGAGCCAATCACAGCCCGTACATATGCAGTTTACAGACTACGGCTGTTTGAAAGGTTTTTTTCCATAGAATTAATCGATTCTAGACTAATTTGACTCAACATTTCCAAAACACGTATAATTTTTTGGGAATAATCCATATAAACTATGCTATAAACAAAAAATTGTAGGATTACTTACCGAGTGTGCACCATTTGACAATGCCATTGCTTAAGCTTGTTTTTTGTCATGCAGTGGTGCATCGAACGGTAGGTGTGTGTTTCCTGATAAATTATTTTTCTGCAAAAAATTTGCTGAACTTTGGAGACATCATTAATATAAATATAATTTTTATGGCTGTTAAATAATAAATGGTTTTTAGTAGGTCCATTGCTCATTTAAACTCAATGGTTTGTACAATATCCGCTATTGGTCTAGATTAGATCAATCTTGTCGCAACACGAGTCGGCGATGGCATTTTACCATATTATACAAGTTTCTTTTAGAGTGTTTACAGGAATACGATTGCAATTTTTTTGCTATTATATACGCCGTATTATATGAACCCATTTTATAGGGGGGTCTACTGTATTTATAGAGAAAGTTTTGTAATTTTTCAATATTATTATAAGCAAATTCAACATTTTAATGTGCAAATTTAAATTAAGCCAAGATAATTATTATTATGTCATTATTATGCTTTTGTATTCTTGATTTTATAAACTATTCTTCCATGCAACAGTACTTTGATATATTATATTTAGTAATTTCAATTTTAATAATCTTGCAGTATTTGTTTTATTTACTTTTTTTTTATTTTGTATTCATTTGTTAATGCTAATAGCTTTCCCTGTTCACTATCAGCTTTAGCAACTTAAGAAACAAATTTTTTTTTTAGTATAATTTTTGCAGCATTTCAATATTGAACAGTTATCTATTTTAAATTACATTATTTTCTTTCAAAATTTATAAATCTTTTCATTGCATGATATTTTCAAGTCACCATGTTTTTATATTTTATTTGAATGCTGTTAATTAGCTTTTTCTTGCAACCAACTGTCTGCTATATTATTTCATATAAAGCAATTTCTTATACATAAAAATATACATAAGAAATTACTTTACTTTAGCATATTATAACAGAACGCATTTGAAAAAATACATTTAGAAAGGCTAATTTATACTTAAATGAATCCTTTGGTTTAAAGTAATATATATATATATATATATAGAAGTAATAATTAACAATTAGTCAACAAACATGAGCTATGTAAATAAAATAATTGTTTAATCTGTAAGTAACTGATTATATCCTGTTCTAATGTAGTTTTATTATATTATTTAATAGGTGTTTTATCTATTAATATAGAAACTGCTAAATTACTGCTTTATCTATTATTATCATGCAAAAATATTTAACTAAATATGAAATAAACAAAAACATTCAAAATACAATCTAAATCTAGATTTGCTTTTGCTTATAAATGACTTTATCTCAAACATGATTAAATTAATTGTATGATATTTAAATGATTTAAATTATGAATTAAGTATCTTAATTCATGTTCATTGTAATAACCAACTCCATAAATTAATTTTAAATCATAACAACTATAAAAATGCTAATAAAGTTCAAAGATAAAAAACATTTTTGAGATGATATACATCTCATCATCAAGTTAACAAATATTATTCATTGAGTTTTTTGATCTGATAATGAGTTGTATATCATCTTAAAAAACATTGTATCTGAATAAACTGTGAACTTTTTGACTTTTTAACATTTTTATGGCTATTTTGATTTGTTGAAATTTATTACTTGTTTAATTCTAAAAAATTTTACATTAATTGTAATATAATTAAATTATTTTAAATATTTGATTTGTTCATATTATTTTCTTTATCATTTTCTTTTATATAAATTCTTTATTCTTATAATCATATCTTTCTTAAAATTGTTATCTTATCTAACATATTTATTAATAATTAAATCATTTCTTAATAAAATTGAAGACAGTCTGCCCAAAAAGGACTACCATTTATTGTTTCTGTGTTCTAGACAATACATTCTTGGCAACAGACCTTTCCTTTTAGGCTACTTGTTGCCAGAAGTTTAAAAAGTCCTTATATATTTTGTGTTTTTTAAAAGGACTTTTTAAACTTCTGACAATAAGTAGCCTAAAAGGAAAGGTCTGTTGCCAAGAATGTATTGTCTAGAACACGGAAACAATAAATGGTGGTCCTTTTTGGGCAGACTGTCTTCAATTTTATTAAGAAATGATTTAATTATTAATAAATATGTTAGATAAGATAACAATTTTAAGAAAGATATGATTATAAGAATAAAGAATTTATATAAAAGAAAATGATAAAGAAAATAATATGAACAAATCAAATATTTAAAATAATTTAATTATATTACAATTAATGTAAAATTTTTTAGAATTAAACAAGTAATAAATTTCAACAAATCAAAATAGCCATAAAAATGTTAAAAAGTCAAAAAGTTCACAGTTTATTCAGATACAATGTTTTTTAAGATGATATACAACTCATTATCAGATCAAAAAACTCAATGAATAATATTTGTTAACTTGATGATGAGATGTATATCATCTCAAAAATGTTTTTTATCTTTGAACTTTATTAGCATTTTTATAGTTGTTATGATTTAAAATTAATTTATGGAGTTGGTTATTACAATGAACATGAATTAAGATACTTAATTCATAATTTAAATCATTTAAATATCATACAATTAATTTAATCATGTTTGAGATAAAGTCATTTATAAGCAAAAGCAAATCTAGATTTAGATTGTATTTTGAATGTTTTTGTTTATTTCATATTTAGTTAAATATTTTTGCATGATAATAATAGATAAAGCAGTAATTTAGCAGTTTCTATATTAATAGATAAAACACCTATTAAATAATATAATAAAACTACATTAGAACAGGATATAATCAGTTACTTACAGATTAAACAATTATTTTATTTACATAGCTCATGTTTGTTGACTAATTGTTAATTATTACTTCTATATATATATATATATATATTACTTTAAACCAAAGGATTCATTTAAGTATAAATTAGCCTTTCTAAATGTATTTTTTCAAATGCGTTCTGTTATAATATGCTAAAGTAAAGTAATTTCTTATGTATATTTTTATGTATAAGAAATTGCTTTATATGAAATAATATAGCAGACAGTTGGTTGCAAGAAAAAGCTAATTAACAGCATTCAAATAAAATATAAAAACATGGTGACTTGAAAATATCATGCAATGAAAAGATTTATAAATTTTGAAAGAAAATAATGTAATTTAAAATAGATAACTGTTCAATATTGAAATGCTGCAAAAATTATACTAAAAAAAAAATTTGTTTCTTAAGTTGCTAAAGCTGATAGTGAACAGGGAAAGCTATTAGCATTAACAAATGAATACAAAATAAAAAAAAAGTAAATAAAACAAATACTGCAAGATTATTAAAATTGAAATTACTAAATATAATATATCAAAGTACTGTTGCATGGAAGAATAGTTTATAAAATCAAGAATACAAAAGCATAATAATGACATAATAATAATTATCTTGGCTTAATTTAAATTTGCACATTAAAATGTTGAATTTGCTTATAATAATATTGAAAAATTACAAAACTTTCTCTATAAATACAGTAGACCCCCCTATAAAATGGGTTCATATAATACGGCGTATATAATAGCAAAAAAATTGCAATCGTATTCCTGTAAACACTCTAAAAGAAACTTGTATAATATGGTAAAATGCCATCGCCGACTCGTGTTGCGACAAGATTGATCTAATCTAGACCAATAGCGGATATTGTACAAACCATTGAGTTTAAATGAGCAATGGACCTACTAAAAACCATTTATTATTTAACAGCCATAAAAATTATATTTATATTAATGATGTCTCCAAAGTTCAGCAAATTTTTCGCAGAAAAATAACTTATCAGGAAACATGCACCTGCCGTTTGATGCACTGCTCCATGACGAAAACAAGTATAAGCAATGGCATCATCGAACAGTGCACACTCGGTAAGTAATCCTACAATTTTTTGTTTATAGCATAGTTTATATGGATTATTCCCAAAAAATTATACGTGTTTTGGAAATGTTGAGTCAAATTAGTCTAGAATCGATTAATTTTATGAAAAAAAACCTTTCAAACAGCCATAGTCCCTAAACTGCATACGTGCCGGGCTGTGATTGGCTCATGTATTTAAGTGATCGTAAAACACGAATTCATATAAAAATGAACGTATCTACCATATTATAGGGGGGGTCTACTGTATAAGCAAAGAATTGCATTGAATTTGTTAGAGAATTATAGTAATCTTGATTTTTAAAAGATGAAAATTTTCAGCAGGTTTATAACATTCTATAACAATTATATAAAAAGTTTTAAAAAATATAATATTACACCCGAAAATATTTAAAAAAACCCATTTTCTCTACTGTCCAATATTAATACNTTGTAAATTGATTTTTTGTTTTTAAATTTTGTGTAGAATTTACACTGAAGAGGGGCTCATACAAGCCTGAAATGCATATGTAATTTACAATAAAGGAATACTTAACCTCAGAGCTGAAAGAAAGTCTACCGTTTTTAATCATTCGGATTGAAGAGACATTTACTAAATCTAAGTATTTATCAGCTATTATACCAGATTTTGTTGATCTCTTTAAATGTATAAGGCCATAGATCCATGTTTTAAGGTATACAAAAAAAAAAAAAAAAACTAAGCTACATCCAAAGTATTTGACATTGGAGTTTTCTTAGTGGCCCACATTTAGAGCTCATAGAGGATTTCTGTCCTACAGAATCTGCCCAGTAGGTCAAATGTTGATGCAATTTTGATTGTGCAAAGCTTCTGGACATATATTCTTATGTTGCACACAAGAGTTTCAGTCAATGTTATTAATTAACTGAACTTTTGATTCAACATTACAGATTTTTATCCAAGATATTGTTATCCAAAATTTAGTTTTTGGTTGTTATGATTTTTTCAAAGAATTAACAAATTAATTACATCTGCAAATTTTAGATTAAACATTGCTTCCAACTCAAAACTACACTTTTTGCATCAAAATGATTGACATTATGATGAGTTATCTAATTCTGACTATTTAGAGAAACTGATTGCAATAAAGCTTAATAATGTTGTATTAAACAAATAAATAGGCTCTTTTAGCACTTTTACTTATTTAAAAATATCTTCCAACTTAATTACTGGTGCTAATGACAACCCTTGAAGAACATTTATGTCCAATAACAAAAAACGTTTAATAAATCACCCAACAAATGCTTTTGACCCTACTCAAGGTCCTCATCAGGTTAGAGTATGATCAAATTCCAAAATCAGAATGCTTGGAACAGAACAATTTTAAAAAAGTTAAATTAAAAACCCTTTGGAACATAAAAAAACCAACCGAAACTTAATGGTTGCAAATGTATGAAATCCAAAAATGCACACATAAGGCAACCCATGTGTGCCTATTATTTGTGGGTTCAGTATAACAGTAAATAGTATACATTCAATGTACGTTAGTGGCACCCTGTTCTTCACACGAGTAACGCCAGGCATAAAATAATATAAGAAGTTACCATCCTTAAAATTGATACACCCACCCATCAGGCTGGCCTTGTATATTTCTAGGGCCTCCAGGGCCCTAATGTGGTTCGTATGAAAGGCCCATTTTATTAGCCTTCATACTTCATTTGTGTTACACAAGATGTTAAATATAAAATAATGTTATATTATTTTTAATTTTGTTAAGCTTATGTAAAATTGTAAATATGTTTTTCTATCTGTTATATTGTATTTACACTCATTTTTATTTTGAACTATATTAAATACTTTAATTTTTTCTTTGAATAAGGTTCAGATTCATCCTTCTCAAGGAAGTGATTATGTGATTCGAACTCAACCCACTGAAAAATCGTTATCAACTGTAGAGACTGCTGCTTTGGCATTATCTGTGCTTGAAAGTAATCCAGCTATTCATCAGGTATTACAATATATTTTAAAATAATTTTATATTTACTTAATGAAAATAAAGAAATATGCATATTAATAAAATATAATTTATTAAAGTGCATAATGATCAAACTTTCTGTTGTATTAATTAAATATAGATTTAAAAACTGCATGACATGTCATCCCATTTTTTATCATTCAAGAAAAATTTTTAAATTTGATATCATTCTGAAATAGATTTTAGTAACTAGGTAATATTATATGAGCCTTATGGAAACTTCAAAACTTGAGGATAATTTAGATGTTTATAGAAATATATGTTACTGTAAATGCTCAAATTATGGTAAATCCTAAGATCTTCCAGTAAAACCTAAGATTTACCAAATCTTTGTGGTAAAAGTCAGAAATGTTCTGCGATCAACATTAATTTCGAACTTTTATCGGCATTTACTCGGTATATCTTAGGTTTTACCTCAGAGACATGGTAAATGTTGAAAAAATAGTCCCCGATTTTTACGCCACTGCCTTCGCTCGCCGCATTCCATCGTTTGACACGTTAGAACGCGTACGTTAATTCTAATCTTGTTTGAGATTTCTCTGTCTAAAAGTTATTTATGAGTCAAGATGAGTGTGAAACGGAGATTTTATGAAATAATGGACGAGCTCGTTGCAAGCAAGAAAGATGATAACTTTTATCTCAATAGGGACAAATATGCAAGGTGTTTGGAGGAAGTAAAAGCTGCAAAGAACATGAAAAAGAAACAAGCTGTTCATTACAGGCGTATAAAGCGTTACGACATTTTGACTATAGGCGGCGAAGAAAAACTAATTGCGCTTATGAAGGAGGAGGATGGAGAAATAAAGTATTACATTTGTTACGAGGACTTATTCAACATTCTCGAAGAAACGCATGTTGCTGTTGGCCACGGTGGAAAGACACGGATGCTTAAGGAATGTAACCGCAAGTATCAAAATGTATACTTTTGATATTTGGATACAATATGTCATACTGTTACAAGGTTGACATATTTGAAGCTATGTCAACCTTGCCAAAAGAAACAGAAGACTTTGAAAAAGAGTATTGTCGTCAGACCTATACTTCACAGTGAAATGAACTCATGCTTTCAGGTTGATCTAACAGATCTACAAACTACCCCAGATAGAAATTATAAATTTATTTTAGTTTACCAAGACCATCTTACAAAGTCACCTATAATCAAAATGTCGTAACGCTTTATACGCCTGTAATGAACAGCTTGTTTCTTTTTCATGTTCTTTGCAGCTTTTACTTCCTCCAAACACTGCGTATTTGTCCCTATTGAGATAAAAGTTATTATCTTTCTTGCTTGCAATGAGCTCATCCATTATTTCATAAAATCTCCATTTCACACTCATCTTGATTTGAAAATAACTTTTAGACAAAGAAATCTCAAACAAGATTATAATTAATGTGCGTGTTCTAACGTGTCAAATGATGGAATACAGCGAGTGAAGGCGGCAGCGCAGTGCGGTACGGGATCGGAGACTATTTTTTCAACATTTACCATGTCTCTGATGTAAAACCTAAGATATACCGAGTAAATGCTGGTAAAAGTTCGAAATTAACAATGATCGCAGAACATTTCGGACTTTTACCACAATGATTTGGTAAATCTTAGATTTTACTAGAAAATCTTAGGATTTACCATAGTTCGAGCATTTACAGTAACATATATACGTTGAATAACCCTTCTGGATATTCTGGTGGTTTCATTTATTTGTTTATGTTTATTGTTATAATGTCCAAAGGCATTGTACAAACGCAGTGGTGCCTCATATTTCAAATTTAATTCATTTCAGGAGGCTGAAGTCTGAATCAGTTTTTCCCATTAGAAATAATGGAAAGTGAATTAATCCACTCCTAGATCCTAAACAATACCCATGTCAATAAACTTAAAACAGCAAATACACATAATTTAAAGTAAAAATAACATAATTATATGTTCTAATAATAAATTAAAACATGAAAATAATAAATAAAATATGTAAATACTGTATAATAAAATGAAAGTTGCATTAATTGCACACAGCTTACTTCAGCATGGCTGTCAGACCTACCACAAGTGTACTGCTTTTACGTTTCACAATAACTTTTTTTTTCACATCAATTGTCAATATTACAATTTGCCTGGTAGGCTTCATTGCTTCTGTACACTTCTTGGATGCCATGGTTAATAAATAAAAATTATATAGGTTGAAAAGTCAGTTTTTGTATATTTTTGACAGCTGTCTGTATATAACATAGATGTACCATTTAATTACAACAGTTGTGAAATTTAACACATTATTGAGATTGTATTCTTTGTTTATAAGCTTATTTTCTAAGTTTTACTTCATATTTTGTTTGAATAAAATCAAGTTGTAATGTCTTCAGAAAAAAGCATATCATACATGTTATTTTATGAGTTTTGGAAAGGACAAACTGTAAAACAAACATATTGAGTTTGGGAAATATATTCCTAAACTTAAAACATGTGAAATGTGGTATAAAAAGTTCCATTTTGGGAAATTTTGAACTAAAGGATACCAAACATATGGAATGCCTAAAAGCTGTTGAAGAAAAATTGTAGAAAGAAATTGTTAAAAATCAATGAATAATCAGAATACAGTATATATAACCAAACACACCAAAATCAAAGCAAAAAAGTACTGAAAAGATATGAGCATAATGCAAGAGCACAAGCAAGAAATAACTTGGGCACCTAACAGATTGTGTTTACACTTCAAGCGCATTTTTCCATTGTGCACATAGTTCAGACTACAAGACAAATTTTTGTCAAATTTAGCATTCAAAGTTAGAATCATTTGAAGTATGAAGTACCACTGTACTGTACATGAAAAGAGTGAAATTAAATATACAGGATATTTTAAATATATTTTGATTTTCACTGTATTTGTGTAATTACTTTGATATCAAATTATTACTCGTTCAAAATAAAATCAATAAGAAACTTACTGTAAAGATATTGATAATATATTTTCAAAATTGAAACAGACAAAATAAAATTGATTCAAATATAAACATCCTATAACCTGATTTTTAGTTTAATGCCAAATGATTGCCTGATTACATCAGGCTATAGTAATGCTACTAATTATTAATTAAAGCTCAAGTAATTGTCCTACAGGTAGACATTAGGAGCCATCTCATGATAAATTTAATAATTATAATTAAATCAATATTCAATAATTTAGAAGATTCTGGAAGGAAAGAATTGGCTCGAAGTGAAAGTTACAATTTTTATTGAATCAAGATGTCTGCTCAACATGACAAATGTCACTGGGAGTCTTGTGTTTATGTATGGGGCAGATACAAAAAACAAGAGAGCCAGTGGACCTATTTACTTCTTGTGAATGGAATATAATGTTTACACACTTGTCAGCCTTTCAATAAGTATCTCTAAGCATATCTGTGTTTTAATTATATGGTTTTTAAAACTTTAGTAATGAATAAATATAGTGAAGATTACTAAATATTTGTTTATGTAAATTTAATCAAACCTTGCTAAAATAATTTTTATATTTAATTTACAGATATTAATTCAGCCATTGAAAGCACTTTGCAATTTTCAACTAAAGCATGGAGCCGTAACTCATCATAGCAAGGAATTTCTTAGTCGTAATGGATTAGACAAAAAGATAAATGTTTCATCTTCAAATATTACTGAACAAATATCAAATGATGTTATGAGATAAGGAATATAGTTAGAATAATTTTATAATTGAATCTATAATGTGATATTTATAAATTGAAGTCTGAATTAATTATTGCTGTTAAAATAATTTCATCTGTACATCTTCTACTCTAATTCTATTTTTTAGATATTTGGTTTTTATCCTGAATCATATGAAGTTAGGCTCAGAGTTAGAAGCAGTTTAAAAGTGTTACAATAAAATAATATTTCACATTTTATCTGTAATGATTAGCAGTTTTATAAAATTTAAAACACCTACTTTATACACCTAAATTAAAAATTTTAGCAATTTATAAGTATGTATGAAGTTGAGGGATTTTAAATAAATCATAAATTGATTATTCAGACAATTGAGAAGTGGAAAATAGAAAAATCTGAAAGTGCCAAATTAAATTTTCTAAGTTTTTAAAACTTATACTATAAAATTGGATCATATTTAGAAATGTTGTAACTTAAAATATTACAATTGTTATTTACATCTATGTTTAAACAGAAAAGATATTTGTAGCATGCAATGCCATAACATTGTAAATGCCATTTTTCTCTAAATATGTTTTATTGAAGAATTGAATTCTAAATGCAATGTTTTCTGCTACAAAAAATATTGTGGCGATATTGGCACTGTAAGTGGCTGTATTTTAAAGTTGAATTTATGTGAAGCCATAACATTTAAAGCTCCAAAGTTCAAGTCATGTGACTTTCGGCACCTAAAACATTACAACTTATATTTACATCATTTTGATATTTCAGAGAATTTGTAACCTAGTGAGTTTTTTTACCATTTTATTGTAAAATTGAAATGAATTCATTCACTAGAAAAAGTGTTTTTTAGCATTTACAACATTATGGCATTGCACATTTCATTTGTATTTGCTCTATTCATCTCACAGTAATGTATTTCAGGAATTTAAGTTGAAATTTCTGTTTATGGAATTTATATTAAATCCATAACTCTACTTCTGCTGCTCATTTTTTTTACAGTATTTTTTTATAATCCATTTAAATCATTAATATAACTTATGAAATCATGTTAATTGTACTGCTAATAACTATAATATATAATTAGTATTATATATATATATATTAATAATTACAAATATATTTAATTGAAATTACTGGACATACACATAAATGTATACATGTAAGCATAGTATTGGAGTTGATTTTTTTTATCAATATCTAATATGAAAAAAATTACTGTAATAATGATATTTTCAGTCTCTTCTATTTCTGTTTCTCAATTCCTTCTCTTGAAAGTTGAATCTAAATAACAAACTTATTTTAAATATTATATAATTATATTGAATTCTGCTTACTTTAGATTATTATCAACATTTCAAATGTTGATAATATTTCAAAGTAAACAGAATTCAGTGTAATTATTGTTATGGTGTGTAGTAGGAATAAATATGTCTTATGAATATAAAAATGCTTAAAAACAGTAAAACAATGTAAAATGCTTTTTCAGCATTTTATACTGAAAAATGTTGCTGTTTCAGAAAAAAGTTAGCATTTTAAAACAGTTCAGATGTAACAATGATTTAATAATTCACACAACAAACTAAATTAAAGTAATTATTTGATAAAATATAAATTCATACATTAGTAAATATAGATACATTGTAGCATACACACACACAAACATCTTTATTTATTGATATTTTTCCTGTATTATTGCATTAAATTTTGCCATTGTATTTATAAGGTCTTCAAAATTATTTGGAAAATTTTAAATAATGTCATGAAACAAAATTTGATTTGATTAAATTGATTATTGTAAAGCAAATTTTTAAAAATATTTAATATAGTTTTATCAGTTTGTAAGTATACAGTATATATGTATGATATGATTAGTATGATAGGTATTGATATGATTATTTATTTAAATAATTATTTAAAATTTGCAAATTAACTTCTACTTATAAATGTATCTTTCATTAGTAAATTCTTCATTATTTTAAGTAAATCAATTGTTTATTCTCAAATCATATGCATAATATCATATAGCTCTTACAAATATGCAAAACATAAGTAGCCTTACCACAGTATTTCATAATGTTCTGTATTATATTCATAGATGTAATAAGAGTAATATCTAGTATTTATACATTTCTAATGCAACTCTAGTATAACTTAAATTCAATCAATAATCTCCATAATTTTATTACATAAATTTGTAATTAATTTATTATTATTTAAACATCCTTGTCAATTATATTATGATAAATTTTTTATACAATGCTGAAATAGCATTTGTAATTAATTAATTTTCTTCTATGAGTTCTACAATCCAAATAATTTTTGAATGAAACTTATAAAGCACACACTATTTTAAAATCAGTAATAAGCAGTTAATTGTGTGTATAGGAGAAAACATTGATTCTAGAGGGATTAAAATGAGAATTGGACTTTTTTAGTCTGCTTTAATTCAAGCAAATATTCAAATAGTAGTTTATAGTAATTATAAAAGTTTAACAAATTATATATATTTTTTTACATTTGTATAATTTTTCCTATATTTAACTTATATTTAAAATTTTTATTTTTCTCTGCCAAGAAATCACTTTTGATTGATTGCCAAGAAATTGATTTGATTGGTGGATTAACATTTGATGACTGTATCTATATTTTGGTGTACTTTAGTGGTGTAGTAAGTCTTAATAATCAATTTCATGTAGAATTTTTTTATATAATATTAATTATAGCACAACATTAGCAATCTCAAAGTTCAAATGTTATTTACTATGACAAATCATTCATATATATATTTTTAAAGTTGCATAAATTTTAAATACTGCACGTATTGAATTTTAATATAATTTGAATGTTTGCAGTATAACAAGGAATTTTAGATAGGTAGATAATCAGATCACAGAAAAAGTTTTGTGAAAATGTTTTTATATTTGAAATGGCACAAAATATTAATGTGATGTGGTAAAACTTTTAAACTCCATAATTCTTAAGTTAAAATTATATAGTATTAAAATATCAAAAATTTAATTATGTTTATCACAGATAATTATTTTGTACTTTTATACTAATAAACTGTAGTGTTATAGCAGTACTTCTGTATGAGCATGTGTAATAAGAAGTCTCTAGTAAATAAAAACCTTATGTACAAAATTTAGAAAAGATAACTGTTTATTTTAAATGCCTCTGTATAGTCGAGTATTTTCATAAGGAAGTATTGTTATGACAGTAATGATATGTTGAAATGAAAATTAATAATTTTCTAAAAATCATATACTAATTTATATAGTAGACTCCACTTACTGTAATCATGGATATTGCTATCAGTCATTTAATGTTATTAAAATTAATTAGTCCCTAATTATTTAAGTTAAAATACTGTATGAAAACTTTGTTTTTTGTAACCATAGTTCTATTATTTAAATATCATTTCTAATTTGTTTTTGTGCTATCAGTTTCAATATACAGCTGATAACATATGAATTATTAGTTTTCACCAGTGCTTTAATTATTAAGCATTAATCATTTTAACTATTATTTGCTCACAATACAGTAGTTTAAATTGCTTTCATTTCTTACATCAACTATATTCTGTAGCCGCTGTTAAATTTTGTAGTGGGCCTCATATCCTTAGCATTATTTTTAATCAGAGTCAATAAAACCAGAATTTTTACTAACATTATCTTATTTACTTGTCCCGCATAATGTAATCAGGGTCAGCAAGTCCCAATGTGATTATGTTAAGTGAATTCTACTGTATTTATTTTCATATAAAATTATATCATAGTCTGATAATTGACTTTAAATAAATTGTAACATCTGAATGTTTCAGTTGTTCATATTAACATGATTTTCAAATAATCGTTTTATTTATGAATTATGTTTTGTAAACCTTAAGAAATCTTATAATTTTAATTCATTTTATGTTACTTTTTCAGTTATGCAGTGTGTAATTACATAATAAAAATTATAATTTAAGAGAGTAAAGAATTGTTTGTAATGATTGTATTTTATTAATAACAAAAATGTCCTTTCTGCAAAATAATTTTTATATTACAAAACTGAAACTCCAATTAAAGCCAAATATGCCAGATTATTGGGCTATATTAATGCTAATTTTAATACAGTAGAGCGTCGATTATCCGAAAGTCAATCATCCGAAACGTCAATCACCCGAAAGAATTCCAGTCGGCAAATTTAAATTTTTACCAGTGCTGTGGCGCTGCAATCTTTGAAGTATAACTTTTTATTGTTTTTATATTTTTCATTATATTTATTTTGTTCGTACAAAATAAAAAAATAATTTTTAACGACACAATAGTCTTCGTTAGGCTTAACATCGACGAAAATTCAACGCGAAGCGACACGCAACGGAGAAAAATGTCAAGATGGAAAAAAATATTTTTTCGTACACAATCGGTTATCCGAAACATCGATATTCCGAACAACCCCAGTCCCCAATTGATTCGGATAATCGACGTTCTACTGTAGTAATTAAATATAAAGAAAAACATAATAAGTAATATAAAGTTAGCCTTAATATAGTGATAATCTGACAGATCGTTTGGCTAGGAAACACCAATTTAAAAAAAATTAGTATTAAAAGATAGCCCAAAAATCAGTTTACATATTTTAAGAATTGTTAAAATTAGTTTGGAAAATCTGTTTTATTTGTATTCAGTTATTTCATTGCAAGCAACTGAATCAAAAATATGTTACCTGGCTTTTGAACCATCTCCTATTTTCATTTTTGTCATTTTCTGCCCTGTGGGTTCTAAGATGGCTCTTTTACCAGATATATTGTAGTTTGGCCAGGTGTATTGGGGCAACTGGGTAGAAAAGGGTCTAATATATCAGAGACAGACTGCCTGTGATAACTTCTGGGATTGCTCACCTGGATTTGATCACAGGTCCCCAGAGTGATAGGTTGATGCATTAATTTCTTCAGCCATCTAGTTGTTGCAATCCTTTATTTAAAGTGATTGCTAGATGTACAGCCCAAATCAACTATTTTTGGGGTTTTTTTGTAAATCAACTACAGAGGTGTGTTTGGTGATAACATTCAATCTGCCTATGATGTTGTGGTAACCATGTGCAATGGCTATGCACTCTATAAACGTTAATTTAGCAGCAAGAGCTTGGAGAGTAGAAGAATGTGTAAAGTTCTCCTAATTAATGCCTTATATGCTGCAATTTTGTAAAGGGGTTTTTGTATTCTATAATTTTCTAATCAGAAACATCAAACTGCTAACAGAATATGTAAACAAATGTAACTCAGTTTTATATTTATTTGCTGCATTGGGAGATAATATAACACCTTACTTTACACTTGGTGCTATTCAAAGGAAAGCAATGTGTGTACTTTGGTTTTTCAACACAAAGTATGTTATCAGATGAATCATTAGTTAAAGGTGGTGTTTTGGCAGAATGGCATACAGCTGTATTGGATTCATATTGTTTGAGAATTTTTTGACGTGTATTTTCCTATCCTCTAACTCCTTTTGGGGGAAATCTTTGAATTGGAATAACATGACTTCCAGTGCAAACTGGAAGTTCATATACAGTCGACCCCCTATAACGTGCGTTCCTATAACGACAATTCCTATAACATAGCGAAAAAATTGTAGCAACATTCGTATAAAATACCTCCTATAACGTCGTTTCGCGACAAGATTGATAGAATCTGGACCAATAGTGGATGAGCAGCCGAACTACTTTCCTCCGACCCTGCGCCACGCTACAGAGCGGCTAAATTGAGTTTGCTATCGTCTGTACAATATTATATATAAATTACATATAAATTAGATACTGTACATATAATTATATATTAATTATATATAAATTAGGTACTGTATATATAATTATATATTAACTTAATTTATTGTAACTTTATTATAATTATATATATGCTTTCTGCCGCCTGGCAACACGCTACGGAGATTTTAGGCTAGTAAGTTGAGTTTATTATCGTCTGCACAGTATGTAAATTAGGTACCGTAAGTCTAATACAGCACTAATTTTATACATTTCTTGTGAAAGAAACACTTCTTATTCAACGGCCATAAAAATTATTTATATTAATGATGTCTCCAAAGGTCAAGTTATCTTTCTGCGATAAATTATTTATCAGATATCGCGGCCGCCGTTTCGTGTGCTGTTCCGCGACGAAGACAAGCTTTGAACAACGGGCGTAGTCGAACGGTACACACTCGGTAAGTAATCCTATAATTTTTTGTTTATAGCATAGTTTATACGGATTACTCCCAAAAAATTATACGTGTTTTGGAAATGTTGAGTCGAATTAGTCTAGAATCGGTTAATTTTATAGAAGAAAACCTTTCGAACAGCCTTAGTCCGTAAAGTTCCCACCTATCGGGCTGCGATTGGCTCATGTATTTAATCATTCCTACAACGTAAACTTCGATTAGCGTGGAACGTATCTAAACGTTATAGGGGGGTCTACTGTAGTTAATTGGGGCCTCCTGTCCCTAATCTTTCAAAATCTGGTTTCAGTTTTCATCAATTTAACTCCATTTTCAAGATTAAGGAAAGATGCAGATAGACAGATGGAATGGACAACAATGGGAATTTATAGCTTGCAATTTTTTCAAATTGCAGCCCAAAAATGTATATCAATAATTCATACAAAAATGATAGATATGTTTGCTTATAAATTAAACATCGGAACATTTATTTTGTAAGAAATTATAGAATAATGAAAAATATATATATATTGGAAAATACTTAAAACGTGGTAAAATAAAAAACAGTGTAAATTTAAGATATTCTTAATTACAGTATTAGGGAAATTTCCATTTAAAAAATGTGTTACAGTATTTTCAATATCACATAATTGATTCAGCTAGTCTGTTTTATGTGCATAGCATAGTATCTATGTGCCATTTTTATTAATTTTATTGCAGATATTTTATTTATTGCATTTGCTAAATTTTCGTCAGTTTTCCTTATTGTTTATTTTACCAAATTATCGATGCTAATGCTAACTACTGTAATTACATATTTTGAACCTGTCATCATGGTCACTAAAATAACTTATGAAGTTGTGGATGTATTATAAACCAGTATAATACATAAACTGCAAAAATAGGCGTTTGTTGTTTGTATTATTTATGTTAAAATCCTCATTTTTCTATAATTAACTTAAATAGCACCTTTTCTAATCTAGCCCCACCAGTAACAGAGTGAATAAAACCACTGAACGTGCTGGTCACGTGGAATTTTTCGAATTTTCTTCGCCTAAATGTGGTTTCCATAAAAGTCCATCCGGAAATCACCCTTATGTTGCTTTGCCATATCCCATCAATTTCTTTTCATATTGCATATCGTAGATATTAATTCTATTACTGCTGTACTAATTAACAGTTGATATAGTCTTACAGACTCAATTATATATATATAATAATATATATACAGTATCATTTGTAATTTATTTTAGCAAATTAAAAATAATATTTGGTATGGTCATTAGCAGAGAATTTTCCAGAGAGGAAGTTTGGAGACAATTATATCAAATTTTTATTTAATTTTTTGGGGTTTTCAGGGGTAGATCATAGTATTGCATCAATACAAAAAGACAGACAAAACNTATTTTAGCAAATTAAAAATAATATTTGGTATGGTCATTAGCAGAGAATTTTCCAGAGAGGAAGTTTGGAGACAATTATATCAAATTTTTATTTAATTTTTTGGGATTTTCAGGGGTAGATCATAGTACAGTATTGCATCAATACAAAAAGACAGACAAAATTTCCCATGGTCGAGGGTGTAAGGTTATAATTTTTCGATCACTTTTACGATTATAATTTGTGGAATTTTTTTACAAGATCCACATTATTTCAATATAATTCTGAAATTGAATATGTATAATTATCATAGAAGTGTTTATCTAAATTTTAGATAAAAATAATCGCTTAATTATATAACCTTGTAAATGATTTATCACACGTACAACACCAAAGTTTCGGATACTTTAGAAAGAGAACGAGATAAATTCTTAAATTTATTTCTCGATTAAGTAATTTTAATTATAATAGCACTTGTAATACAATAATTATAATAGTTTTTTACTTTTTAAAATTATTTTGGTAATATATAATAAACTTATTCTTTCTGCTTACGCAAGAGGAAGTGTAACGTGTACACTTCTAAGAAGGTAGCCCACATTTACTGTATATTCAAGCTTATATTACGATTCAGAAATTCTTGAGGTAAGTTTTATTAGTTGTAGTTTTCATGTTTCTTGCAAAAATATTTAAAGTATTACAGAATAACTCGGTTTAATTTAATATAATCGGAGAATTAACTAAGCGAGCTAATGACAGCCCAACTAATGAGTCCGCCACGAGTTTTCCATAGAAATTCTCCCGGGAGGATTTCTGTAGAAAACTGGTAGATCGCACACGTGTTGATTTGCTCTATCCCACTAAATCAATCGTTTTTTTTCTTTGATGATTATGAAATTCTATAGAAATAATGAAAGAGGAACTCTGGATAGAATACGGGCGAGTAACTCCAGGAATTTTTTTATGAGAAGTCTGTCCCAAATATGTTTAGTCGTATCTCTTACTATGCGGACGTCTCAATTGTTGGCATAACCGAACTTACGATGAGCATGGAAAACTGCCTCTTGGCGCTCACAGGATGAAAAGAATTAACAATAAAAGAAAGGATAGGGTTGATAGAATAAGGAATACAACACGCGATCGATTTGCCAAGTTAGGTTAAATATAATGGCTACTTAGTATTTAAGATTTCTACTAAGACTTATTTTATTAATAGGATTTATTATACCTGTGACTTGGTTCTGCAAAATTAAGAAAACCAATCAGAAAAAACAGTCTTTATTAGAGAGATTGCGGCCGACGTTTTCAACGCGAAAACGTGTACGTCGGACATTTAGCACCGCCTTCATGTAAACCAGTGTTTCTCAACCTGTAACGAATCGTCGCCCCCTTCAATAAAACCGTTATGTATTATCGCCCCCTTCACTTCAAAATTCCGATGCCTAGAGCCAAGGCTAATGCCAAATTCGTACTGCATTGAATAGACTAGTGACTAGTATAATGTTGTTTGTTTAATTATTGTACGATATAACCAGGGCTGTGGAGTCGCGTAAAAATCTACCGACCCCGACTCC